CCTTAAAGTCATGCAAAAAAATACGATCCCTCCTAAGCAAAGCTTGTAGCTTTTTCCAAAAATTGTTCACCCCCCCCATTTTTCTGATTTTCCCGATCCCCCCTCAATTTCATCTGCCCCCCCCCCTCTGCCATACATTATGAACGCAGCCTAAATTGAGTATTTAAAATATGAAATTGAGCGAAATACTTTGAAACCTTCGAATGTCAACAACTATAAGGACACAGGAAGCCCAATCTCTGGAACGTCGACTAGATTCCAAGAGTTCGCCAAAGGACGGTTTGATTTGTATTATTTTTGTCATTTAAAAATTTAGACACCATTGAATATATACAACAAGTGTAACTGCGACGATTTTGAGTGAAAATTCAACTTCATTCTATACTTCATGTGCTATATCAAAATTAAAAAAACGAGGGAACTTTTTGCTACATTTGATTTCGTTCTGATGCATTGTTTTCGTCTTTTGATACTCAGACTCAAATTAAATGATTATTTGTGTCTACATTATTTAGGGAAATAAGTACCCTACGACCAGTCTCCTTTTACTTCCTCTACTGGCAGGAGACTGCTCGCAGGGTAGGAAATAAGTAAAAGTACATTAATAAGAAATGATGTTTGATCAAGTTTAGACTCACCCTTCACCAACAAGAACATACCACACAGTAACAGTATAAGGCGCGCCATCGATCAGTCAGATCGTTATCCAAGATAAGTTTTGTAGGGAAATCTAGTGTCGTAACCAAAGCAGAAGGTAAGCCAACAATGACTACAGTCTCTCAATGTGATCAGGCATAAATTGTAAGGATATTGATTGTGATTTACAACACATCTCGTTATAGCGCTACTTGTTACGCTTTCGAGTCTAGTTTTGTGAGCGGGGTAGGGAGGAGTGCGAGGGGTGACTTTTGATTCAAAAAAGTTATACAGTGGAACCCCACCTACGGCCAACCGCTTAATACGGCCACCCCGTTATTGCGGTCAGCTCTTTTGGGTCCCGACAAAATACCCATACATTCACTGTAAAATGTACCCACTTAATACGGCCACCCGTTAATACGGCCAATGGCCACTTTTTTGTGGCCCGATTGACAAACTTCCATACTTTTTAACCCGGTATGACGGCCATGACAAATAGGTTACAGTTTAGATCTTAGTGTAAATACTGTAAAGTTGTTGCTGMAAAATCTGTSATTCTTTTATTCATTCGGTTAACATTCTACAATAATGCTTTTTGTAGAATCAGAATCAACACAACAACTACAAACAGAGAAAACACGTACAGCGCGATGCGCTTAAGTATGTCCGCGTTTATTTTATGGCGGTACAGTATTAAAACAAGCCATGCCGATAGCCTGTCTGGGGTGATGTCCAGCCTCGAGTCAGTATGGCTTCAAAGGAAGCTTCATTCGTCTGTACAGAGCAAAGTCACT